TAGTCTCTTAATCTTCACAGAGTTTGGTCAGGACCAATCTGTGAACGGAACATCTGGAGCGTAAATACAGCAAACATCACCAGTTAATCTGGAACACCGGTGCTGTCGGCCATACTGTTGTGTTGTTGTTGCTAGCAAACATGTTACGCAAACGCTACTCTCATAATATGTCACAGCGGGAGTCTCGCGAGACTGGAGCGGCCATATTTAGTATCAGAGCTCCAATCAACCGATTCATAACTTTACAATTGGACATCTCCACAGTAGATATAGATCGATCCAGAGGCCCGCCAATCGATGTATTCGTATCGTTAAAGTTAAAATCGATTTCCGGTTCGTATTGGTGAATCTTTACACCCCTAATAAAAACACATTTCCGTTGATCAGGTCTGAAGTGGAAGAATACTCACGCTGCCTCGATCACTACTGCCACTCCAGCAGGCTCCAACGCCTCAGTGATGGCAGAAGCAATCTGTTTGGTGAGACGCTCCTGAACTGTGGTGACGTATAATGTAGGTACATGAGAACATTAAAGGCAACACATAGATAGATAGATAGATAGATAGATAGATAGACACTTTATTTATCCCCTTGAGGAAATTCGAATGAGGAAACAAGAGTGAAATATGTGTATTTTTACCTTGAAGCCTCCTGCTGTAAATCTCAACTATTCTGTAAGAAAATTTTAAAAATGAAAACAGTGAAATTGTGTGTGTGTGTGTGTGCGTGCGTGCGTGTGTGTGTGTGTGTGTGTGTGTGTGCTATCACCTGCCTTGCCAGTTTGCTGAGACCAACCACCTTCTTGTTTGGGAGGTACGCTATATGAGCCTGACAGTGAAATAAAATGTGTATTTTCTGCGTCATTGTTTATGCCGACAAAACTGGTTTGTGCTGTTTAAATTGTTATGCAAAGTAGTACTTGGAGATACAAAATCTGCAAGTAAACATCAATTACTTTATCAAATTACCTTGCCAAAGAAGGGCACCAAGTGATGTTCACAGAGAGAAAACAAATCAATGTCCTTCACGATCACCATCTCTTCATGGTTTTCATCAAAGATTGCACCGTTCAAGACATCTGTTTGGAGAGTTATACTGGTTTAACATCTTGCTTTTAGACAAAAGGCAAATCAAAAATGGCAGAACAGTGTTTCCGGTAATTAAGCATTCTGTATAATGAGGCTTTATTTAAAGTCATGATAAAATCTAATTTACTTTTCATTGCATGTTTTCACTAAATGTATGTTTTTCAACTCATTTTAAAAAAAAAGCATTTAAATGACATCATCGAGCTTTGTCATGAATAAGACTGCATTCACCTTCAGTTGTCTCCTTGTAGCCTTTAGTGAGGAACTGCATGGCTTTGGCTGCACGTAGTGGAGTACGTAGAAGTCCCTCTCGGTCAACGTCCTCTCCGAGCTCACTCAGTATGGTGCTGTAAGCTCTCTCAATGCAAGTCAGCTTGTTTGAAGCTTCTTCGGAGTCTTCTCTGCACAAATTATTATGCTTGGACTTGATGCACATATTCAAGTACTCATCAGCTACTCCATTCGTCTCTGAAGCGTGGCGATTCTCCATTCTGGCTCTCAGCACGAATTTCAGTGAAGGACACTGCAGGATGCAACGAAACAGGCTCAGCAGTCTCAGGAAGGACGTCCCCTTTTATACCCTGATGGAGGCCCCAAGGCTTCGACACCACCGAGGCTTAAAGATAACCATGCACAAGAGAATTATGTCTGTGTAATTTTCTGACTCAAGCTCTGAGTAAGTTTAAGCTCGACTCACTGACAATGACCACAGAAATCAATTACAGATTTTCTCTCATTAAGTGCTATGTGGCAGCATTTGACTGATGCTGTGCTTTGACCTTGAATACCTAGAAATGCTCTGGGTTGGAGTTTCTTGAACCCATTTCCTGTAAATGCAATTCTTCAGTAGGAATAAAGTTGAGTAAAATCCTGGAAATACTACCCTGACTGTCTCACTAGAAATCTAGTTATTGAACATAATAGTTAAAGGTGTGTAGTTGGATGTGATGAATAGTGGTGGTCCAAACAAAAAAATCAGCATGAATGCGTTGGACATTCATCTCAACATACAGGATTAGTTCATATCCACCAAGTGACAAGGGAAACGTTATGTCTGAGGTAATTTAATATTTACTTTAATGCATCAAAGCAACACATTAAATTGTCTCCTCGGTCACATAGTTTGGATTCTTTACACAACATTCTTGGAAATTAGTGAACTTGCATTGGATAATTGAATCAATATGCCAAAGCTAGCTCGCTTATTTTAATACTCCACAAAGTACTGTCTAAGATACAGTTTTATGGCAGTAGCATAATTCTAACAGACGTAATCTGCAGATTTCATCGTCCACGTGATACAGTGGCAGCCGGAGCAAACACAAATGATTCAGCAATGTGATGTTTAGGGGTGACGATCAATTAGTGGATGGCTTTCAGTGTACTGACCTTCGTTCTGGCTTCACTTTCTGTGTCACACTTGAGCATCTTATTTAACGCAAGACCGATATTGACCCTGCTGACTGTCTTGTGCTTCAGAAAAATCATATCGTTGCACAGCCTGTAGTACTTCCGTATGAACCAAGTGCATCAGTTTATTCATGGTGAATGCACTGAGGGGTTACTTTGGCTTTGTGTTTGTCTTCTTCTATATTTTAAAAACTCTTTTAATTATTGTACTGTTTTAGCAGCGTTGTAGGAAATTTGTCATCTGTTGTCACAATTGCATTTGGGATCATTTATAATCTCAAAAATGTCCAATATTATAATAAGATTGATCCTGGCTTGGTGATTTTCAGTGATTTATGTTTGCATTTATCATCATCAATTTGTAGCACTATTTCTTTTTTATGTTTGTTGCATATATGGGTATTTTCCTTGCAATTTAGTTGATTTAAGAAACAAATTTGAACCAGGAGCAGAATCTCATAATGCACCAAGTAATGTACTGATGCTTTCTTTGAAGTTTATGAATTGTGTGGGTTTAACAAAGTGTCTGTCCCCAAAGATCAAAATGAAATTATTACTTTTTTTTCAATACTTCATATGTCCACTTTCACTTTTTTTTGACAGACTCAATCTTCTGAAGGATGTTCCTTAATTCGTTGAACAAATTTCTGGAGAGATGTTCTGCCGGACACAGTGGGGATTGTGCTTGCTTTACTTCACTCCTACAACCCCCGCAGAGGTGTTCTATTGAGTTTAGGTGAAGATACATACTGGGCCAGGCCATAGTTTTTAGTTATTTTTTTAGAAACTCTTAGTGATTTTGACAGTGTGCTTTGAGTCCCTATCACGCTGGAATATTCTTCTTCTGCCAAGCGTCTGTTTACTGGGAGCCACACTGTCAGCGGCTATTTTGGTGTCCATCCATCCATTNAAAATATTAGGTCAAGAAAGGTCACCACCAACATCGATTCACTCAAACTAACATGGGTAGAGATTCATGTTAGGAAACCCAAAAACATTCATGTTGTTTGTTGAAACAATTTATTCTGTTGAAAATGTTGCTCATGTAACAACGTTTTACTTCTTTGTGAGGTGCAAGAATTCCTTCCTGCACTTGGGATCGTCATTAAATCTTCCAAGCATGACGCTTGTAACAGTGCTGGCATTCCTCTGCTGCACGCCTCTCATCACCATGCACATGTGCCTGAAAGACACAAATATACGTTGTTAGAGATATCGTAAAATCCAAAAGATCAGGTCAGTGATTTTCACAGCACTAATTTAATATCAGAACTTGGAGTTGTGACGTAAATCTAGGAGGTCAGTGAGCTACCCATCTTGGTTTTAGTCTGCTAGTGCATCTGGCATTATAAAAGTACCTATGATGGTAGATTTATCCAAAAGAGAAGAAGATANACCAGTCTATCACAGGGCTACACTTAGAGACAGACAACCAAGCACACTCACATTCACACCTACGGACAATCTAGAATCACCAATTAACCTCAACATGTTTTTGGACTGGGCTGCAAGGTGGCGCAGTTGGTAGCATCGTTGCCTCACGGGGAGAACATGGAGACTCCACGCAGAAAGATCCCGAGTGTTCTCACTGGGACGCGAACCGGCGACCTTCTCGCTGCGAGGCGACTGTGCTAACCACCTTGCAGCCCTGTTTTGGTATAACCACAGATATCACACTTGCTATACGTGTCATCTCACCAACACCTTTTGAACTCATGCAGCTCCATATCAACACAGTCCTTCCTCTGTGCTTCAGCGTTGGGATTATGCCGTCGCTGTGATCATCCTGACCAGGGGCCTGTACTACGAAGCGAGCTCAACGTTTTTGTCACCACTGTAGGGAAAACTAGAGCATTAATGTTCAAACCTCATTGTAAAACTTGAGATAATGCATCTTCTCCACACATTAAACCTCACTCAGCTGATTGTCTCGTGCTTCTGAAGAACGCTGTTGTCCACTACGTTACTACTGGCTCCACTTACATTTATCTAAGTTAACATGTCAGTTAAGACCAGAACAGCACTTACTGTCGATGAATACGCTGGAGGGTCATAAAACTTTGTTTAAATCAGTATTGAAAAATCATGTCATGTTTGCATTTAGCAGTTTGTAGTAGTATTTATTTCTGATGGACTTTGTTAGCTGTTTAACCTTGAGGTAGGCCAGTTCCAGACCTGACCCAGCGTTCTGACTGTCACTGATGCATCAGTCAGGTTTTCATGCTGATGTCAGAGTATATCGTTTCCCATTTTCTTCCTTTTCAATGCAGTAATAAAATTGCAGCAAAACCTGCGCATAGCCATAAGTAGATAACCCTAAAACTGTAATCTTTGTTGATTGTTTGTTTGTTTGTTTTAAGTGTTTTATGATTTATTCCTTTCATTGTAGTAGCCAAGTGTGACTGTCACCAGAAAGTCATGGAGGCTGTAAGCTGCTACACCTACAAGAACTTAAAGAGCCCATACTATGCTTTTAGGGGTTTGATCTGGCCTTTATTGTGTTACAGATTTATTGTTACAAAGCCCAAAGTCTGCGCCATAGGGAGTTATTTTCTCCCACAGAAAACACTC